CAAAATTTATGTTTTTAACGAATATCCAACTGGAAGCATGTTATGTAATTTGATACTTTCCCCACACCCCCTCGGGCGCTAAATTTTTGATGAGGCACGTGACCAGCCGCAGCCAGGGTCTTTCCCAAAGAAAGATCCTGGGTACGAGGTTGTTTGTGTTCAATCTTACGATTGTGACAGGTACCAATTCAGATCATTCCTGTCTATTTTTATCCGCAAAATACACAACTTTTATCTGTTACATTAAAATCTGATGCATATGTAAATTAAGAACTAAATGTTAATAAACAACAGTTTTGAACGGCAAATAAGTATTGATATGGATAAACAGAACGAAATGCATGCATTTGATTTTGATTTTGAACTCATAATGTGACATAAATGTTGCCACATGGTTTTCGTGCTGTGCGTAAAAAAATGACTGGCAGGTAAATAACAAACAGTTTTGAAGAGTTTTAAGAGATTTGTGCCTTGAATCGTTTGCAAACGAATGAGCAATGAAAATATGATTAAAAAAATTTTTTAAATATGGTAATATTAATAATAATATTAATATTATATTATGGTAATATTAATATTATCATATTAATAATATTATTAATTAATATGGTTATATTATTAATATGGTAATATTTTTTTATTTTTCATTTGCAATTTATTAAATTGTGGATTATTTTTTTATGTAAAATCAACAAAAAGTACGTCGTTAAACTCTGAATTAAGGAGGCTCCCTACAGTAGCACGCGGTAAATTGCAGGACAAAAGTCACAAACGCGCGTCCCACGCATTTTTCAAGATCAAAACATAATAAAAATATTTAGCAGGTTTTGTGACAAATAAATTAAAGCAGAAATAATATCGAGAAGCAGTTTTAACGATGATATAAATATCAACAAAAACTATATCGATAAAAACTATATTGACTGTGGCAATTTGAATTTTCATGTACGATTTTAAATATTCGTTAAACAGAAAAACTGTTATTCGTTACAAAAGTTATTTAGAGATAGTTGTATATTTTCCACAAGAGTAAACAAAGACAATTTTACAAAGCAATACCGACTTGTCTATCTTTAGCAAAATTGAAAAACCAAAGAAAAATACGATACTTGTTTAAAGGTTGTATACTAGTTCGTGTAAACGACTCGATAAATTTAGCTTTAGTCTTGGTAGTTTATCTAAATCCTTCACAATATTCCTTGTCTGTCGATGGCGCTTAAAAAATTGAATAAACGTCCAAATCATGAGTCAAAAACAACATTGCCAGAGCTGGTAAATAACCCAGAGATGAAACTTAGGCCGAAATGTGTCACACGAGTTTTTGCTAATTTATCGCGTATACGCAAATCTCTAGCAAGTGTAATGTACATTTTTAGTAAGGAATTCGATAAGAAAAAATCAAACTTTTGATAAATAAATGGACATTTTAAGACTTTTAATGAAAGTAAATCAATACAAGTGATCGCTTACCGATAATCTAAAATATTCTGTTCGAAAAATTGACATCGATATCTCACACTTTTAAAAAAGCGATTTTCACCTTTCGAACGGCACTTTCCCTATTCTTTTACTTGAACATTTTAGCGATGACACTTGCCAGAAAATCACACGAGCTGGCGAAACTCGTGTGCATGACCGCGAAATAGATACGAGTTTCACCTCTGAACTTTCGCTCGTCGTGCGCTCACGTATCTACCTTCAGCGACGCTTTTTTGGTGGTATTACGACGGCAATTTAACAACTTAACTTTTTCCCCGATAGTTTCATCGGCGACACATCTCCAAATTTTGAACACAAATTTTAATTTTGGTAAATTTTACATATTTCAATTTTTAAAAAATTCTTTACAGTGGTAATCTCCCAAAAAAATTTTCGCTTTTAAAAAAATCGCACAGCAGAATTTTGTTAAACTTTCATTACAATTGTAGAACGTCATCCCCTATTAATATATAAAATAAAAAATAGGGGTCACCGACATCGTTTTTGATATACAGACAATTTTAGAGTAAAATTGGTAGGTTTTATGATTTCGCCATGTTCCCATTGCAACGCTGATATTGTTAAAATCGAGCTCTAAATATTCCACTGATGTCGAATATTGCCCCGAAGTAAAAAAATGCGCAATCTGCATGAAAAATCTCTTATTTTAGAGATGTTCAGTACATAGCCGCAACTGTATGGAGCCTGCTTAAATAGACAATTTTTTCTCTTCGTATGCGCGTTGCTGCGGATGTATTTCTATCGACTTTTCTCTTGCTAATTGCTACCCTGCATGGTGTTAGCTGAATGTGACCACCTGCGTAAGATTTTGCGTTAATTCTTAGGATTGCGGTAGGTTCCCATTGAGATAGTTTTTTTCTACTTTTGTCTTCGAAATGCACTTCATTTTATCTTTTACACGATCAATTGAATCATTCAGTATCAATTGCTAGACTCTTTATACAGCAAATAATTCACAATAATAATAATTCATAATTCCTTTACTCGAACAATAGTTGGTTATAAGTAGATCTACTAAGAATGACGAGGGACAATTTAATTTAATTTTAGCCAATTCGCTGAACCTTTGGAATAAAAAATACAACGAATATGCAAGGTTGGATTACTTATTTTAAATTAATATTTAACTTATTTATACGTGTCCATCAAATACCATCTTTCAAAAGTCGAACACGATGAATGAATGGTTCATTGGGTTCAATTAGTTATTGATTTACATCAAATTGTTTATTTTGTACCCTTTCAAAGCAAATGTTCTATCAAAATTCATGTTTTGAATGATTCGAAAAATTAAAAAAAAAAAAAAAAATGTTTGCAGCAGAAGTGTAATTTGATTATTTCGGGGTCAAGGTTCAGTAGCTATTTGTGGAGGATGGAAATTACTGGCGCTTGTAGAAGTTGTATTGTATAAACAATTCCTAATAAATGAAAAGTGATATATTTTTCCACAAAAATTGTTTTCCAATGACTTCTACTTTTGTTGTTTTTGCTGTGCTTTAATCTGTAAACACGGCTCCACCCGTAAGTCAAGAAATATCGCCATCCTTGGCTTTCGTTCTGTGGGTAAGAATCGAAATTAGATTTATGAATGATCTATATATACTCGAATAAACTAAAAATTGTAAAAACAATGCTGGTAAAAGATTAATATTTTCTCGTAGGAAAGTCGTCGTTAACCATACAATTTGTGGAAAATCAATTTGTCGATCCCACAATTGAGAATAGTAAGTGTTTTTTTTTAAATTAAAATACAGCTTAATTTAACATCAATTACATGTAACAATAAAATGTTACTTTGTAAAAACCCGGCAGAATAAAATGCTTTTAAAGACATTAGAAATTTAACTTGAATGTTCATTAGTAAGGTGGTTACAGTAATTAGGGATCACCCCTGCATATATTCTTACCATGCAAAACATCGAACTGAAGTTTTGGTTGGGTGCATAGCTGGCGGTCTTGGCGAGCGCATGCATGGCGAAGAGAGCGCAACAGAATAGCAAGCGCATTGAGGCGCGGACAGAGAAAAATTAGGGAGGTGAGGCGGGAAACGCGGGCGGGAAAGACCTTCTATTTGATAGTCTATGGTGCATGGAACCAGAGATATGCGACGAAAACTCATCGTTTTCCACGGAATGATATTTCGGCATCGGTCAAGAAAGAATTATTTGAATACGATCGAATAGCATCTTTACCCGGGTTGTTACACAAGTTTGTACTCATCCATCAACTGCGTCAACTACACGTCTAAACTCTCATATTTGTAAAAATGATTGCGTTCGCAACAGAATTGTATCAAGCTTGTCAACAAGATGTGTTCGCAACAGAATTATAGCAAGCTTGTAAACAAGACTTGTCTGCAACAGACTTACAACAAGCTTTTCATGTCAACAAGATGTTCGCTACAAGTCTAGGTCTGTTGCGAACATCTTGACATGAAAAGCTTGTTGTAAGTCTGTTGCAAACGCATCTTGTCGATAAGCTTGATACAAATTTATTTCGAGTATATCTTGTTCATAAGTTGCCACAAGTGTGTTGCGGACACATCTTGTTGACAATCTTGCTACAAGTCTGTTGCGAACACAACTTTTTTTTACAAATGTGAGATTTTAGGCCTGCAGTTGACGCAGTTGAAAGAGTGTGCAACAACCAGGGTAGAGATGCTATTCGATCGTACTGAAATAATTCTTTCTTTACGCATGCCTAAATGTCGTTCTGTGGACAACGATGAGTTTTCTTCGTATACCTTCTTCGTATACCATGCACCATAGACAATCAAATATAAATGCAGAATTATAACAACACTGAAGTTATAACAATACTGTTATTTTACTCTCACGATTTTATTATTCTGAAGTAGAGTCATGAGAACAAAATGAGACACTATAATTGGTAACATTTCACATTTGTCATGGATAATAAATGGTATAAAGATGGAAGCTTGCCTCTTTGGTCTTGGACACGACGCAGTGGCGGCGGGACAGGGGGCTAAGGGGGCTTTAGTCCCCTAGAAGTAAAAATGGGGGCTTATCCCCCTCCCCATAACACACGAAGAATGCCAGAATGCAAGACCATTTATACAAACTACGAAGCCGTCAAATTACTGCTCGCCGGCTAAAATGCAAAAGAAGATATCCTACTTTGTGATCAAGTGAATGTAAATTGGTTTTCTTTCACCCTGAGTATGCAGCTATTTACTCGCTGGGGCACTGTGCCTGGGACGAGTATAGGTTTCGGCGTTCATTTTTCTCCGACAGTGGATCGAAGATCGATATCCACAAAATAGAATATTAATGAGCTACCTAATTTTTACGCAAATTATCCATAAAGCTCCTGCGGCTCCTGCCAATTTTTACACAAAGTATCCACAAATAACCCTGCGTTTTGAGGAAAATTCGGGAAAATTGAAAAATTTTACAAGGAATTTCGACATGGAAACAGCAACCTTCCCAAATCGCAAGTTACGTTTGACTGCGCTGCTTTATATTTTGAGAAGAAAGCGACACCGTTCGATTCAGTGTAAGAAATTGTTCTTACGGATGTCAAGTGTATTACTAAACACCAGTATTCTAGCGATTTATGGCCTTTGAAATTCAGGCGAAATTGTATTGTACTTGTTGACAAATCACTCGCAGTACGTTTCATAGTGTATTTGTAATGCCTAAATGGAGCGATAAGGATAAAAATAAAAAAATAATAAAAAATACCACCGTTCGATTCAGCGTTAGAAATTGTACTAATTACGGATGTCAAATGTACAGTATTACTAAACAACAGTATTCTAACGATTTATTGCCTTTGTATTTGAAAGCCAAGCGAAATTGTATTGTTGACAAATCGCTCAAAATTATTAAACTAATTATAAAAAAAATGCAGTACGTTTGATCCTTGTTAACTTTGGTATCATTGGTTTTCTCTTTTTCGGCCGTATGCCAGTGAATTCGTCTCACTTCTCTCTTCATTTTGATAGTATTTTAAGCCCGAAAGACCACAAATATTTTATTTTGAAGCGCAGTTTATTAAATCCTAGCGTACGGACCAACTGGCGGTACCCTGGATCAGGGGGTTTCCTGTTTTTCTGAAAATAGAATGTGGCGTACTATAAAATGTAACTTTACTTGTAGGGCCTACCGCATTTTAGTACTGTGTTAAGCCTTTCGCGCCGGTGTTCGACTTTTCCGCTTAGCTCGGGGACTTCGGGGAAAATCTTAATTGAAATAGCCGTGTACTGTGTACAAATTGAAACAGCATGTACAGTAATATGTGTATTTGTATAGCCCTAGACTCGGGTTCGAGTCCGTTTCTCAAGGGGTTGAAAATAGCGATGCACGCGAGCGGTCAAAAAAGGTGCGAAAATATGAGAGAAAAGTAAGTAGGGAGAGACGGATTATGATATCCTGCAAGCGCGCGGATTTTTCCTGCGGAGGCGTGGCTTGGGAGTTGAGAACAACAACAAATTTTCGCGCAAACGTCCCAAGTCCGTCTCTCCCTACTTTTCTCCTGAGACGGATTCAACCAAGTCTAGTAGAGCCCCAGCGAGTTAACGCTCCGTAGAGTGTCTTGTTCAATTAAGGTTGTCCCCGAGCAAAGCGGAAAAGTCGAATACGAGCGCGAAAGGCTGCTGGGGATCCCTAAGAAATTAATTTCGCGCTCGTATTCGACTTTTCCGGGACAACCTTACGGGGACAACCTTAATTGAAACAGCTGTATATCTTACTTGCATATCTGTACAGTAAATACTATAAAATCAGAGCTGAGTATTTTGGCCTTTGTGGTTATTTAGTAAATGGGACAAATAAAAGTTAAGAAGTTTCAGACTTTCCTAGATGTATAATTAGTTTTTGTCATAAATTTTCTACCGATGCAAAATGCTTCAAAGTACGTTTCTCCCAAGCGTGCAAAAGTATTCGTAAAGTTTTGAAAGTCGATATTTGCACTAAATTTGCAAACGAGCAAATGATATTTCGGAACAGAATCTAGTTCCTTCGATACCAATGTATTCTAGTAATATTAATTTTTTTTTTCTGTGTTGGTGTAGTGTACTCAGATGAATATGATATTTGTGGTGTTACTCTGAGTGTATATCCACACCGGGCGAGCTTGAAAAATATGCCCGGCCACGGTGGGATTCGAACCTACGACCTTTGGAATACTAGCCCAATGCTCTTCGAACTGAGCTACGCGGTCAGGACGGTTTCAGTAAGTGATATTTCGGAACAGTATCTGGTTCCTTCAATACCAATATGTTCTAGTAATATGAATTTTTTTTTTCTCTGTGTTGGTGTTGTGTACTCAGGTGAATAATATGTTTGCCATGTTACTCTGAGTGCATATCCACACCGGGCGAGCTTGAAAATATGCCCGGCCGCGGTGGGATTCGAACCTACGACCTTTGGAATACTAGCCCAATGCTCTTCCAACTGAGCTACGCGGTGAGGACGGTTCGAGTAAGTGATATTTCGGAACAGTATCTAGTTCCTTCAATACCAATATGTTCTAGTGATATGAATTTTTTTTCCTGTGTTGGTGTTGTGTACTCAGGTGAATAATATGTTTGCGATGTTACTCTGAGTGCATATCCACACCGTGCGAGCTTGAAAAACATGCCCGGCCACGGCCCGACTCGAACCTACGACCTTTGGAATACTGGCCCAATGCTCTTCCAACTGAGCTATGCGGTCAGGACGGTTCGAGTAAGTGATATTTCGCAACAGTATCTAGTTCCTTCAATACCAATATGTTCTAGTAATATGAATTTTTTTTTTTCTGTGTTGGTGTTGTGTACTCAGGTGAATAATATGTTTGCGCTGTTACTCTGAGTGCATATCCACACCGGGCGACCTTGAAAAATATGCCCGGCCACGGTAGGATTCGAACCTACGACCTTTGGAATACTAGCCCAATCCTCTTCCAACTGAGCTATGCAGTGAGGACGGTTCGAGTAAGTGATATTTCGGAACAGTATCTGGTTCCTTCAATACCAATATCTTCTAGTAATATGAATTTTTTTTTTTCTCTGTGTTGGTGTTGTGTACTCAGGTGAATAATATGTTTGCCATGTTACTCTGAGTGCATATCCACACCGGGCGAGCTTGAAAATATGCCCGGCTACGGTGGGATTCGAACCTACGACCTTTGGAATACTAGCCCAATGCTCTTCCAACTGAGCTACACGGTGAGGACGGTTCGAGTAAGTGATATTTCGGAACAGTATCTAGTTCCTTCAATACCAGTATGTTCTAGTAATATGAATTTTTTTCTGTGTTGGTGTTGTGTACTCAGGTGAATAATATGTTTGCGTTGTTACTCTGAGTGCATATCCACACCGGGCGAGCTTGAAAAATATGCCCGGCCACGGTGGGATTCGAACCTACGACCTTGGGAATACTAGCCCAATGCTCTTCCAACTGAGCTACGCGGTGAGGACGGTTCGAGTAAGTGATATTTCGGAACAGTATCTGGTTCCTTCAATACCAATATCTTCTAGTAATATGAATTTTTTTTTTCTCTGTGTTGGTGTTGTGTACTCAGGTGAATAATATGTTTGCCATGTTACTCTGAGTGCATATCCACACCGGGCAAGCTTGAAAATATGCCCGGCCACGGTGGGATTCGAACCTACGACCTTTGGAATACTAGCCCAATGTTCTTCCAACTGAGCTACGCGGTCAGGACGGTTCGAGTAAGTGATATTTCGGAACAGTATCTAGTTCCTTCAATACCAATGTGTTCTTGTAATATGAATTTTTTTTTCTGTGCTGGTGTTGTGT